AGAATGTGTTGGGATTTGCAGTAGAACTGCAACTGCTCCTGGCAGGGTCATTTTGTCCTGTTCCTTTGAAACTTTAAAACTCACTTCATTCAGTGACATCCCAGTGTGCCTTCGTAGGCTCTAACTGTTCGTTCTTTCTTAGGTGGATAGAAATCTGGGACTCAAACCATGACTACAATCACTTCGCAGATGCTTCCCTGTCGCCTGCAGATGGCTGAGCAGCAACTTAGCAACAAGGAATTGGCCAGCTCAGCAGTGTCCATCTGAAGACTGCTCTTTATCCTTCCCTTGAAGGACCGATTAGTGTGGGAGGGACACCCTGCTTGTCCTTACTAATTTTTAAATGCTGAATGGTTGGAAATCATGGCTCTGACTCCCAGTAGGAACTTGATTTGCAGATGTGAATGCCTCCTTGCCGTGTGTTGGCTCATCTGGCAGAGAAAACCCAAGAGACCCAAAAGGCAATCAAGAGTAAAAGCTATTGTTGGCCATTTGCAGGGCCGGTTAGTGGTTTGGGGTTTGGTGGGGAAGGAAAGTTCTGTGGCATGCTTTTAGTGGTGAGAGAGGACTGAGTTCTGGTTTAATTGCCAAACGTTCCCCTCTGAGAGCTACACTGTGCAGCCGATGAACTGTTGGTGTGGATGAGGCCCAGAACAAAGCCTGCAGAGTGAGACTGAAGCAGAGGTACCCAACAGTGTACTGCTGAGGAGAAAGATCTGCACTCCAAATCAGCGTGTTGTCAGTGAAAGTCACACAAATGTCACATGCCAGATGAGGCTCCTGCAGAAATCCTTATGATGAGCAGTAGTTTCCCCCAGGAGTGCTGTTGCTGACCTTACTGACTAAACTAGCTTTAGCTTTGCAAGTTAGAGGTGTCCTAGGGAGAGAATCCAGTGCATGAAGTGCTTGTTGTGAGGAGTGCCGGTGGCATGTCCTGCATGTCTGTATGCAGCTCAGCCCAGGATTTCCAAGGTCTTTGGAAAAGTAATAGCTCATCTGAGAATACTGCGGTGCAAGTAGGTGCCTTAATTGACAGTTGCAAAAAATGAAGAAGTTAAGGCTAAAATTGACAAAATTGGGCCTCCCTAACTGAAGACCCTTACACTACAAATTTGAGGCCCCAGCTTTGATAAGTGTGTCCTAGTGTCATGTGAAGTCACTGCTGTGCTTATGGCAGAGCCAGAAGCAGTCCTTCCTCATCAATACACAGCGCTGTTGTGATGAGCTGCTGTGGGAACAGGATTAGTGTCTCTGGAGGTAATTTTTTGTTGTTGTATGGGGCATAATTTTGCGTCAGTGACCTCAACTCTGCTCCTCTTCTCAGGATATGTTGATGCCAGCAAGCAAACCTCGTGTTCATGGTACTCCTAATTGTTCTTTTCAAAACATTAACTGTATTGCCTCAATCCTGTTTTCTTCAAACTGCCATAAACCAGCAGTTCTTTGTACACTGCGTTGCACACACTGTTCGGATGCATGCAATAATGTCTTTACTGTGAAATTGCCTAGCAGATACTACTTTCAGGATGAATAAACCCTCCATTCTGTTTTATGGTTCATAAAGGTAGCTTTTCTCATACAGCTGTTGATGTAATTTGTCCTTGCCTCGTTCTGTGCTTCCCTCCATTATTTTCATGCTTCTTCCTTTATAGAAGGTTCTGCAATAAAGAAGCAGCAGCGGGAAGTTGTCTGCCTTGTGCAGAAGCAGTGTGTGAGAGACCCGAGCCAGGAAAAAAGCAGATTTGGGACTTGCAAGCAGCCAAAGCCTGCTTTGCCTGAACTCTAGAGTAAAGCTTGCAGGAGTGCTTAGTCTGTAACCTGTTCTTCAGTATGTGGTAAATATGAAATGCTTATACAGCTTTGTTCCCTCTTCATTAGGAGTTTGTGAAAAAAACAGGAGAACTGGGGAGTAGGGAAGCAGGAGGCGAAGTATGGAGGCTTTAAGAACTTGGTGTTACGCCACTTGATCTGTGTAGTTATGCCAGTGGACATAGGCAGGAGTTACGTGTCTCACAGGCTAAGCCCAGAATTAGCCTCCCTGAGGAACAGGGCATGCTGTGAGTGTTGCATTAGATGTTTGTAGCTGAACTGATTGTGAAGTAAGTCTTCTCTACCAACAGACTCCATGGACGCCAATGCTAACAGCTGCTCAGTGTTGTGCAGTGAAGTGAAACGTGTGCCCTGGCTCTGCTTTCCTGTTTGTGTCAGTGTGCTTGTGAAGGAGAAATTCAATAGGAACCATTATGCTCTATTAAAAAAATTTAAACCAAGTTTTTCTAGGCTGTCCTCCAAGAACTACAACCATGAAGCAAATACATGATCCATGCATTGTGACTCTGGGCAGCAGGTAGAGAGTCCCTGGGGATGCAATGAGCATCAGTCCACACAAAGATGAGCATGACCAAGTGTGGGTGCCCACAGAGAATGGTGCCTGGAGAATATAAATTCTGCTGCCCCTTCAGAGGATGAGAAAGCATGATGGTGAGAGAGAGCAAGTGCGAGAAGGCTGCAGGGGAGAAGCATGTGACACAAACAGAAAAGAGGTGGGAATTTAGAGTATAAACCAAATTTATTAATCGTGGCCGATAGAACAATTTTAAACACTTTCTGACATGACATAGCAAAGGAATAAGGAAGGGTGAGAACAGAAGGATTCATTTCTTTGAGACTGCTTAGATTGGGAGGGGCTGGGTATGGGATGTTTTGTCATGGGGATGTTTTGGGCGAGTTCATTAAGGTGAAGGTAACTGAATGATGGGGAAACAGGAAGAGTCACAGTCTAGGCAGCTGGAGCATGAGATGGGATCTCATTGCAGGTGAGACACTTAAGCTGTAGAGGACAAGTAAATGTTCTCTACGTTGAATGGTGGGTGAGGAGGTTAATTGCTAGAGAGCTCCTGGGAAACAAGACACAATAATCTTACTGTGTATTATTGTAGGGAGAAAAATCCTTACGACTGTTTGTGTGGAACTCCTTCGGTGGCCATGGAGGCCTTGACATTCAATCAGTTACTCAAGACTTCCCTGAAGCAGCTCACAAGTGGCTTTTATCCTTTGGCAGATTCACCTTTGGGCTCATCTGCTGGCTTCCTCCTATTTAATCTGGAGATTAGATAGATTCTATTTCTGATGAATGCTGGGCAGATATAGCTATTAACCTTTCACTGGAGAGCAAAGATGCCATTAACTGTGAGCTGATAAGAACTATCCATAAAGCTGTGATTAATCACCAGAATTTAACTTTTTTTTTTTTCTCCCCCTCAAACGTTCATGGATCTAAGCCAAAAGGAAATGTGTTTGTGTTCCTGTCAGTTAAGGCAGCAGCGAGGCTTTGGGGAGAGCCAGGAGAAGAACAAAGTGTCTGAGACTCCTCATTACCTGCTGAAAGAGTTGAGTTACCTTGAGCAGAGACAGGCAAAGGAGCTTGCTGCTTCTGCAGGGTGGTGCATCAGCCTGGTCTTCAGACTGTCAGGGCAGACTGGTGTTCCCTGGGCATGGCTTGCTCTTCCTCCTGTGTGTGCTCTGAACAAGGATGTCTTTTTCCATGATTAACTTTGTTCTGCATCAAAAACGACAAGCTTGGGTAGGAGCTGCGATTTCTGGTCCTAATTGCAAAATGGCATGATTTTGAGAGCCTGCTCACCCTCCAGGCAGGTGTGAGAAGTAGTAGGACTAGGCTGGGAGTGCAGAACCCAGGGGATGTGTGTCGGGGTGCCTGTGGTTTCTCACCTCCCATGTTAGCAGCAGGGGCTGTCAGTCCTGCTCCCAGCTGGTGCTCACACCTAGCAGCCTCCGCCTGCCCTTTGCATCAACTTCCCTCTTCCCTGATGTTTCAAAGCGAGTTGCTGCAAAAAGACCTGGTGGGTGTTGAGAAGAGGTCGGTAGAAAGAACAAATGCTACTTGGTATTGTATCCAGCAGAGAGCAGGGACAACCCTGAGCCCAAGAAGCTTAGCCAGGGCTGTCAGGGCAAAGTGCTAGTTGGCAGAGAGATACGCCAGCTCCCATTTGAAGGAACAGACCACGGGAGATCTGCTGTGGAGTACCAACAAGAGAATAAAGTACAGCCAGTGTATAATTACTCCACAAATACAGTTAGCAGTTAACATCTTCCATGTCTGCATGGATGTATGTTTTCCAAAGTCGCAGTCCAGTCTCCTGTGCCCTATAAGTATAGACGGGGTAAAGTGGAGACATCAGATGGAGGGAAGGGGGTTGTTTAAAAGCAGTTTTTGCAAAGACCCTGCCAAAACTTCACATGATCTAAACCCAAACTTCCATTGCCAGAGTTAAGAGCACAAAGTGGGTTTTTTGCAGCATTAGGAGGTGAAAGGCCCTCAAAAGAGGGAGCGAGCTCATGTGATAAAGGGACATTACTGGGAAGGAGAAAGCTGCTGCTGAGCAGTTTAGAAGCCTCCATGTTATCTTTCCCAAACACAGGGATTTCATTAGGGCTTAGCTTCTATTTGCTCTTTCCTGCTTTCAGCTTCTGACGCGCCATGATATTCCCGTGACACCCAGCAGAGGCCATACGATGCTTATGGACTGTTCCCTCTCAACTGCTCTTCTCTCTTGTGTGTCCTCTTGTGACATACCCCTCACCAATTCCCCAGCTTTTGGTCCTCAGAAGATCCCTTCTCTTTGGACATGCTTCTGGGGGGACCTGCAGCCATCTGCAGGGGTCTGGACAATGTCGGTCTCCCTTGCAGCCTGTGCTGTGGGAGGTGTAGCCTGCATGTCCTGCCACCCCAAGGGAGGATGTGGAAGACAACTCGTCCATCCCCGAGTCCACCCTGGCTTGGCTCACCGGGCAGCGTGTGAGTGAGTACTGGCCTTGTAGTGCCAGGGGCTTGCATTTGGAGGGTGAAGGGGGGCTAATGAGCCACGGGCCTTGTCTTCAGCCAGGGTACTAAGGGAAAAATTGAGAGGGAGAAATTTGGCCCCACGTCAAAAGGGGTCACCTGGGAAGTCTCTGGAGGGGACGAGGTAGCTGTGCTGGTTCTAGCTCTGCCCCAGGGAGGGCAAGCAGTCCAGGCCGTTCTCCGACCCAGCCGAGGAGTCCCGGGAGGAACGGCCCTGGAGAAAGCGGATGATTTTGTCAATTGTGGCCTCCTGGTACTCGTGGGACCACCTGTGTTCAGGGGAAAATTTGATTTTATTTTTCCGTTGTGTGAGGTGCCACCAGGTAGCTCAGTTCACCCCTCCTCCACCCCAGCTCTCTAGGAGCTCCCCTTGTTCCCTATGGAAAATGGAAGAACACTGGATGCCGCAGGAAAGCCCCTTCCCTGGTGCCCTGCCGGGCTGGAGGGCTACGAGCAGGGTGGGATGCCAGCCCTGCCTGCTGCTGCACGAAGGGGAAGCAGGAGGCGAGAGCTCAGTGAGCTGCGGAACCTGCCGGCTTCACTCCTGTCTGCAGGGCTGGGGGGCAGGAGGATGGGCGTCCTCCCAGTGGTGACGGGATGGGGGGGAGCTTTGTTCCCCGGGGGAGCCCCAAGCACAAAAACAGCCAAAGGGTTATGGTGGGGACCTTTGCTCCCTTCATGCTCTGGAGTACCTGAAGTGACTCACCTCCCCTTTGGCCTGTTCTGCCTCCCTCATTTGTTTCTCCCAATTTCCTTGTGCTCTTTGCTACTTCTTATGCAAGCCCATCTCTCCAGGTGTCAAGGAACCCCATGGCACAGGTTCCTTTTACTTACTTGATACCATTAAATTTCAGGACTGCCCTCATGTCCTTTGGAAGTGTTTCTGGGTCCGGCCACTCAAAGTGGTCTGTAACGGGTACAATATTCTTTCCAGAGTTCAGGGCTGTCACAATCTCCTGCAGGAACGTGCAAATGCTCAGGCTGTGGCCAGTGTCAGCCCATCACCAGCCCCTTCCTGCTCCAACACCTACCAGGCTCCCACCTGATGGCATCTCCTACCTTGTGCACCCAGTCCTTGCACTCGGGGTCTCCCATGCATTTATCCAGTGCGTTTGGTGAGAGGACCAGCACAAAATTGCGGGCACTCATGACGCTCTGGATCAACTTGTCCTCAAACTTCCCTGCCTCCAGCTTCTCCACATCAATGAACACGCTGAAGCCGTGCAGCTGTAGGTGGACCTTCAGCAGGCTGGTGGTGAGAGGAGACAGCATCGTGAGGAGAGCTACTGCCAGGGCCTGGGTTTCCCACCACGTTGGCCAAGACATCGGTAGACAGAGGAGCAGTAAACAGGCTTCCACAGAGAACTGCATGGTCCCCGAGACACCCGCTGCCAGCCCTGCCTGCTTACAGGTGTCTGGGCCCACGCAGAAAACACAGGGAGCAGGACATGAACTCCCTGCTGTGATCCCCTATAGCCCTACGAGCACAGCATGAAAAAGGGTAAGTTGGTGTCAAAGAGGGACAGGATGGCAGTGACAGGACTGGAAATTAGCCTGTCCGCTGTGCAGTTTACGGCACGTGCTGTCCCCATTTGCACTGCAGCTTTGGCAGCCTCTCCCTCCTCCCCGCAGCAGCCTGCAGCTCTCCCGGCTCCACGCCCTTCCCACAGGAGA